ACATCTGATACTAAAACACATCCACTGTAATGGCTAAAATGAGTCAAAAGTCTGATATTACCAAATATTTAACAAAGTTGTCCAGCAACGTTCACTATTGTGAATTGTTGGGCAGGCAACATGTTACAACCACTTGGAAAATTTCCTAAGTTAAATAGTTAGTTTAACCTGTAGTTTATTACTGGGTCCTGGATAACTTTTTTTTTTATTAAAAAATTTATTTTTACATCATTTTGCACATTTTTTTTTCATCTCAATTGTAATCCCCATGGGTTTCCCATCACCAAATCACCCCTGTGCCACCACCATAGTCCCGTTATGCAACTTGTTTTTAACCCAGTGGGAAAGGTGTTGTTTATATAGGTCTCTATTAGAGACTTTTAAGAGAACTATTTTAATATTTGTTGTTTATAATCCTCAGATTACCACACTCCTTACTTGGGGAAAACTAGTAGGGGAAATCTTGTATGGTTGAGCAGTGTGTACAGATGTCTATTGTGGATGAGTGGGGCTAAAATATAGACTTTTTGTTCTCACCAATTTATGAACCCTATGGTGCTATCTGCTTGGATACGATAATTTGATTAATTTTTCACAATAAGTGGACTAGAATCAGCACTAATAATTGTGCAATTCCTTTGTTCAGGGTTAAGTTTCCTCTTGTGAGCACAGGGGACCATGAGGAACTCCTGAAGAGAATACACAAACATTGTGTTCTCTGGACCCAGTTTTCCCACCTATGTGCCCTATCTCATAGAAAATGTCTGCCAAAGACATTTTAAGTGAGGGTAACTAGAAGGCAAAAGATTCTTCAAATATGGTGTCTAGCTCAGGTGTTCCTATATCAGGTATCCCTATACTCAAGGTAGGCTCTGGAAAAAAAAAATACAAACACATTACCTGGGCCACTTGACAAAAAATGCAATATCCTGAGCTATGAACCAGGTAGTCTAGATTCCAGAACCTGTCGATGTTAAAATAGGGAACAGTTGTCTGAAATAATATAAATTACTTCCTCACAAGGCTGCTACTATAAATAAAGCTTTCCTGGATGAGGATTCCCTTCATTCACAAAGTCTATATGAAAGTCATAATGAAGGGTTGAATGTTCCTCTTGGAAAAAGCCCAAAGATAGAAGCAGTAATAGGTTTCCTTTTCTTTGATGACCTCCTTCTATCCCAATCCCCACCCCCACGCCCACAACATATACACAAAATCATCAGTCATAGGGAGCCTCCTCGCTCCCTTTCTTGCTTCTGATCTAATGTTTATAAAAGAACATATCTTTTAGGAGGCAGTAACAAATAGGTGATGGATGTCTATCTTTAACAATCTTGTTTATCTTTTAGAGTCACATTTAGCTGTTTCTGGTGCTTTTCCTAGAATCCTAGAATCCTGGTTTATGCAAGCACTTCTAAGCAACTGAATTCTACTCGTTGTAGCAAAGCTAATAGGAAATATCTACATGATGGGTTCAACTATAGAGCACATGGTTATTAAGTTAATGATACCTTAAGCATACCATAGACCTTAGATAACAGCAGCCAATGTATAAGCATATCATGGTCAATATAGTGTTTGTCAACCAAAGAAGCAAGCTGAACTTTCTTCTAACAACTATACTATTAGGTATACATCTAAAGTTGTGCCAGTTAGCTTAGCCCAGTTCCTAAGTAATGATTTCCAGTTGAGCATCAGTGATAATGCTCTTTAAATAGCAATTCCATTAAAGGAAAAAATCTAAGAAACACTCAATGCTTATCCTAGGAGCTAGATAGAATTAAATGTTGTTTCTACCTTCAAGAAATCCAGAGGCTAGTAGACAGATGGCTATGGAAGCATTCTGTACAAACACAAGATTATATCAGTTAAAATGTTATCAGTATTACCAAGATTATCAGAAGAGAACCTCACGCTATAATTTAGATGCTGAGAAGAGACCTGATCACTATTAAATAGTGGTCAATAAAAATATTTACTGACACTATTATTATTTACTTGATCACCAAATATTAAATATTTACTACCATAAAATTTCATGTTAATCCTGTTGGTTTGATAGCTGGGTCAGTTAAGGTGCTTCGGGGCAAGAAATAGGAAACAAATAAAAATGGCTTAAGCAATAAGAAAAGTGTATACTCTCACAAGTTCAGAAATACAGTTCAGTGGGATTGATGAATTCAGTAGCTCAGTTACATCATCTCTCTAAGAAACCAGGCTCATTCTGTATACTTCCTCATGGCATTAGTAAGGTTTTTTCAGACAAACAACCAATAGGAGATTATCTGTCTGTCTGTCTAGCTATTTATGTATCATCCACTTATATACATATACAAGATTTATATATTCAAAAGTGCATATATTAATCATGTATGTATGCACACATTTTAGGTATATATTTTTCCTTTTTTTTTTTTCATTATAAGGAATTGGGTCACAAGATTATGAAAGCTAACTAGACCCCAGGTCTTCAGGGTGTTTAGCAAACTAGAGGCCAAGGAGAACTCATGAACTCATGGTATATAGTTCATGTCCAAAGGCTGGTAGGCCTGAGAACCAGGAAGAGCCAGTAGTACTGTCTGAATTCATTGGTTAGAACTATATTAGATGCTCATTCCTAAACTAATCACTTGCAAGGGAAAAAAATTTATTACCATCCCAGGTTCCTCATATATGTGTATAAGTATGTATGTGTGTGTGTATGTGTATGTATACATACATATATCTTTTTTTCTTTAATTCTCACAACTCTCCTAGGATAATAAAAAGTATTATTGTTTTTGTTTTTCCTGGAGATAGTTACTATGGAGGGGCTTAACTTGACAGAGGAAAGTGAATTTCCTGAATTTTGTGTTGAAAGATATTGTCAGTCAGTCAATACCTTTTCCAGGAGGTTCATTATGTTTCTTGTGTTCTAAGTGCCAAGGCTTCAATGTGACATAGTAAGTTCTGAACTGTGAAATCAGAATGCATGGAATCCAGTTTGCTTTGTTTACCTAGCAATAGCAAAGCATAATTGACATACACATTTCTCTATATACACATCTGTGTGCAAATGGGACAATAAGGCGTATTCCTTTCAATTCTGATATTCTCTGAGTCACATGACTCTGGCCTCAAGGGGGTGTTTCGTTAGCAGAAGCACCTAATTCAGACTTCATTAATAGGGATGCCTCAGCTCTCCCCTCAAGAGAGACGTAAAGCCACGGAAGCAGGAATGACAAAAGCATTTGGCGCAGCTTTTCTGAAATTCATTTTTGAAACATCGAGGCAGAAGTGGGATAGCTGAGGTGGAGCTCAGAAGGGCAGGCAGTCTAGCATTGTTAGCAAGTGAATGTGGACAAATTATTAAGAAGAAGAGGGCAGTCTCTTAAACTAGTTCTTTGTATATGAAATTTGAAGCCTTGAGGTCTGATTAATAGGTCTGCTGCTTTTTACCCCAAACCTCATTGCCATAGCAAGCCTGGCTTTTCTAGTAAGCAAATGGGAAGAAGACAGGTTGTGTGGGGGGTAAAAGATATCTAGTTCTATCTCTGTCTTGGATAAGTCATCTTCACCCTTGGATAAAGCTTCTTCACCTTTATCAGCTTTTTCATCTGTGAAGTTGTATTCTACCAAAGATGATCTGGAAGGCTCCTTCCAAGTCTCTGGTAGTCCAGATGTTATCAGCCATTTCCATTTCTTCACATGTATCTGGAAATTCTTTTCTTAAACTGTGTCCCATATTCTTGTTTTAGAATAGTAATAAACACAGATCTGAATTCTTTATTAAAAGATAATAAAGACAAATGAAAGAAGAGAGGACCAACATCCAGTCAAATTCCTAAAATTGAAAAAAAAAAAAAGCTATTGAAGGAAAATCAGATTAAAATGCAGGCATCTGGATATTCCCAGGAAGTGATGAAAGTGTGATCTGAAATACAGAAACTCAATGACCTTTGACAATATAACTGGAAGTTAACTAGTGGCATTAACAACATATTCTGTTGACTGAAAAAGTCACAAATCCTCTCAGATTCAAGGGGAGGGAACATAAACTTTGCCTTTAAGTAGGAAGACTATCTAGAAACTTGAGGTTATGTTATACAATCACCAGCTGGGACTGTATCTAGTCTACTCAAGGTTATCCATAGGAGGTAGATATTCCCATTTTATTCCCATTCATTCCTTATTTATATCAATTGATGAGACTACAGCCTCTGAAAATATTATTAGACACTTTCTTTTCCATTCTGGGGAAGCATGGAAAATGATACAACTCTCATAGCTAAGCTCACATTCCAATATTTCTATAAACTTAGCAGTTAGAGGTGATCTCCTAATGTATAGATCTTTGGCTTGACTCTCTACAGCTCCTTCACTACAAGACCACCTGTGTTAAAACACATATAATTCCTACTTAATAGCTCTAGCTGACAAAAAATCAGATGAGTAATCCACTAGCCAATAAACAGTGATAAAAACTGCCTTGAGTTGGTTCATGAAGTAGAGAAATACAGGCCTCCAAATCAAGTAACACTTTGGCTCTAAGACATTTTTTCCTACCTAAAACACTTTAAGAATGGGACCAGTAAGATAGAAAAGGAAGATACGTGATTGGCAAAACATCAAAGTTCAGGAAGAGGCTGAAAGTTACAAGCCATGGCTGACCAGTAGGAATGGCTTACAGTCTGGAATTGACCATGACTCTAGAACTGTCAGGTTGTAATTTGGAAGTCACTTATAGCCAGCACATGGTGAAGGCTCTCTTTTTCTGAAGCACTAGAGCACTTATAGCTTGAAATATTCATTTATTCACCCAACAAGCACCTTTTGAAAGAATTCAGTGTTGCTCTTTGGTGTCCAGGAGCACAATGCTCACTTCAGAGTGTTGTAAAGAAAACCAGAAAACCAAAAAGGGAGCTCTAGAGAATGTACTTAACTATAAACAAGCATATTTCACTCTGGGTCTCATATCTTAATCTCCTCCAATGTGTCTGTAAGCTCCCGAAGGCACTAACTTTTATATATGTATAACTTCCAGTTAGCCCCAGTGAATTTTCCCCTGAAAAACCAAACAAGGTAACAATCAGCTACTTTCTTGCATTTTCTATCAAGATGGTTCTTTGTGAATTCTAAATATTCTGTCCAGATTCAAAGAAGCTGGTTGCTTCATGAGAGGTTGGAATAAGACTCTTCTTGGAAGCTACTGAATATGGATTAGTTAGACTGTTTCTCAGGAAATAAAAAGCAGGCTCTGGGGTGACTACTTGCGCACATAATTGAGTTAGCAAAGAACTGCAAATGAGAGGTTTTCCTTAAGAGGGAAAAGATTAGGGCCTCCTAACTCTCTAGGTGTTGGATTTTAACCTAAAAGGTAGTCTTCCAATGTAACCTTTCATTTAAGAACTATTACAAGAATCTACGAGTGCAGAAAATGTGCAGGTTGAAAAATTAACACATAACAGCAGTTCATTAGAACCCAGCCTTTCATTCTGTGTAAATGGAGAGTCCTCCAGCTTCTCAATGGCTCCACTGAAGCCATGTTTGGTGCAGTTCCAAAGTAGCTGTATCTTTGCTATGTAGAGAGGGGACCAAACTGACTAGGCCGCCCAAATATTCAGGCCAGAATTATTAGGGAGCCATGGCCTGACCTTCAGGTAAATGGAAGGGTCCACTTATATATTCCTATCTTGTACCCTTCTCTGAGTCACTCTGTATCACATAGGGTGGATGATGTTTTCCCTTGCTTGGAACTCCCTCAGGGAAGTGTTTTCTGCAACAAAGACAAACATGCCATGTCTGTCATAGGGAACAGACTAAAAACTGTGTAAACCACTCTGTGAGAGGGAGGCTAAGGGGCTCCAGCCATTCAAGCTCTAAGTTGTGGTCTTTGTTTTCTTTTCACATTCACACTGAAATGTGATTCCCCTGTCTTTTTATTTTTTTTTTTTTGGAAAATACCTGTGATGAGTTCCATGCTGGGAGGGAAAGAAAAGCTGTTGACAGGAAAAGCTTCTGCCTGGATGTGCCTTCTGCAAGTGCTGTTAAAGGAGACAGTCATTTCAAGCAGCCTAAGGGAAGATCCTGAAAGTAGGAATAAGAAGTCTGGATCACAAAAGTCTGGATCATCTTTAACTCTGCATTAGGCTTAGTGAGAAGGACTTTCCTCTACAAGCCCAATACCACGCATAGACTTTAGGGAAAAATGTCTTTCTCTGTCACCGTGTGATCTAGGACAAAGTGCCTAACTTCTGAGAACATAAATTTTCCAAGATGTTGTGAGAGATGAACAAGCTATTGCATATAAAGCATGTAAAAGGATCTGCCACAGAGGAAGGGCTCTGTGTAAGTCATGTGTTATTGATTTGATAATAGTTATTCCTTCACCCAGCTCTAAGGATGTTGTGTTCCAACCCTATGCAAGGGATATCTGCTTGTCTTTGGCCTTATGGAGCACATTACTTATTAATCCATGTTCACATACCTTCAGCACAAAGAAGGGCATATCGCGCCCGGCATCCCCAAGTACCCCAAAGTGTCATTTCCAAACTACCCATGCTTTATTGAGAAGCACAGAATCCCAGGTCACCCCTCTTTGAGCTACCTCTACCTTCAGTTTACCCACAATTGTCTCTGTGTTTTTATCACATTGAGTTACAGTTGTCTCTGCTATGGACTCCTAGGATTTGATTCACTGATCATTTATTCATTCCTATAGGCCAATGGTTTTGTGTATTACTTACCACAGGCATACAAAAAGAGTCATTAATATGCTTAATATGTAGATTTTCAGTTGGGAATTCTCCTGGGGAGATAATCCTGCCCTCCAACTTTGAAAGGTCTTCTTTGACACTCATTTGGTTGGTCTATCATTTTCTATTGCTTTGGTTCTAGCCACAGTTTCTTCATCTCTTTAAAGGATTAAGAACCCTCCTTCCCTGGGAGGTTATGTTGATGACTGGAGCTAATGCAGCTTCTATGTGCCAATACAGTTCTAGGTCCAGAGCCAAAATTGAAAAACTGAATTCCATTCTTGCTCTCAGCCAAGTCTTAGTTGTTAATATGAGAAAAGAAAATGAAATATACAAGACAAAATATAAGCACCACAGGGGTTATGCAGGCATCCTTCCAACGCTTATCAAGCCTCTGCCATATGTCAGATTTGGCTGAAATGGAAAGATACAAACATGCGTTTAAACTTGGTGGGGAGGGGGCAAGCCCTCCAGAAAAAAAAGACAATGGTTGGACAAAAGATATCAGGAAGAGGGTAGAAAGTTGTTTAACTAGATCAGAACCTTGGTTTCAGTAGGGAGATGTCTTTGGCACCAGACTAGTAAACAGGAGGTTGGTTGTACCGCAGCAGTAAGTAATTCGGCACTTAGTATACGCCACACACCGCTAAGCGCTTGACAGACGTTTTCTCACTTAACTGTTAGAACAACTGAGTAGGAAGGCAAATTTCTGGATTATACCTATGGCCAATTTGAACATCAGACAGGCTCAGTACCTTGACCATAGTCAAACAAATTTTAGGACTGCACCTGCTGAGGGTTCCACTGACCAGATTTGCTAGAAAACAGGGAGATGGGGGACCCTCCACCACCACCGCCCAAAGTTCGAAGGGAGTGTTCGCACTGGGGTTGTGCTGGTGGAGGCTGGAAATGAGAGAAAAGTAGCATGGGTAGCATGATCCCCAGATCCCAAGAAGCAGGACCTGTGAGAAAAGGATGCAGGCATGGGGGAGGGATGGCCAAGAGGCTTGGGGGAGGCGATCTCTGGGGGGTTGTGCGCCTTCTTTACCCTCCCTGATCTCCCCAACCCCCACTCCCCCCCCCCCCACAAGCACCCAGCACACAGGTCAAGTCGCTCCTCTCCCGCCCTCTCACCCTCCCAACCCTATTTAGAAACCGTGTCCCCGAGACAGGAAGGGCGGCGGGCCGAGAAGCACGGAGCGTCCCGGTCTCATTTCCTTTCGAATCCCCCTGTGGAATTTCATTTCATACGGTGAGGAAATCGGAGCGCGAGACCGTCGGCTGGTAGACTGCTCCGGGGGGCCTCCCCTACTCTTACGGAGACCCGCAGCTCCTAGAAGCTGGTCGGACCGAGTGCCCCCGCTAAGAGAGAGACGGGGCTCCCACCCGAGTGGGTTAGAAATGAAAACAGCCGAGAGCTCGCGCAGTACCAGGCACTGTGCTTAGCGTTTCTGCATGATCTTTAATCCTCCCAAGTCTCTTTATGGACGAGGAAACTGACGCGAGAGGTTGGGCAATTTGCTCAAGGTCACACAGGATTTAAAGCCACAATCTCCGTAAATCCGAATCCCGTGTTCTTTGTGTACGTTTTCTGCCCGATGGGGAGGTGACTGAGATGACAGCCGGAAGAAGGAAAGGGAAGGGGGCCGACAGACCCCGGAGCCCGTCTCACCTGGGAGAAGTGGGGGCAGGTTGACGAGGGCAGGAGCGGTCGGCTCCATCCCCGCCTGGCCCCGGAGCTGGGCTGTCGGAGTGGGAGGAGAGTGGAGCGGGGAAGCGGGGCGGGGCGCTGGGAAGAGGTAGGGAGGGGGGTGGCGGAGGCGGCTGGCTGGCGGCGGCCTGACCCTGCAGCGGGAGAACGGCGCCGCCCCTCGTAGCTCACGGCGCCATGCCATTGGAGAAACGCGCTGTCCGTCCAGCCCCGCCACCGCCCAGCGAACCTCCAGGGCTGCGCAGGGTTCGGGTGGCGAGAGTGCGCGGCGCTGGAAGCTGGCGGGCTTTGCGGAGACGCCGAGCGGACGCAACAGGCGCCGAGCGGGGGCTGGCCGCCCGCAGCCATGACCCTCTCAGCCTACCCTTCGGCGCCCCCCCAGGACGTCTGATATCCCAGACAGGCGCTCGCAGCTGCGGGTGAGCCGGCCGCTGCCCCCTCGCCGCCCTTGGCGCCTTATCACACTCCGTTTCCCGGAGCTCGTGCAAACTGGGGGTGTCTGCCGGAGCAGCCGCTGCTGCCCCCGGCTATGGCTATGGCCTGGCGGGGCGCGGGGCCGAGCGTCCTAGGGGCGCCCGGGGGCGCCGGGCGCAATCCGTGGCTACTGCTGCTGCCCTTACTGCTGTTACTGGGGCCGGCGCGGGGCTTCGGGGACGAGGAGGAGCGCCGCTGTGACCCCATCCGCATCTCCATGTGCCAGAACCTGGGCTACAACGTGACCAAGATGCCCAACCTGGTGGGGCACGAGCTGCAGACGGACGCCGAACTGCAGTTGACAACTTTCACGCCGCTCATCCAGTACGGCTGCTCCAGCCAGCTGCAGGTGGGCGCACCCCTACCCCCACCCCTGGCGGGACCCCTTGGGCACAGACGCCCCCCAGCTAACTCCCTGTAGCCCTGGCCAAGTCGAGCCCCTTGACCCCTCTAATCTCAAGGGTGTACCTACCCTGGAAACGCGATTTCCACCTCCCACCCCACTTTTCTGTCCCTTCGAAGAGACTAGAAACCAGCACGTTGTATAAGTCATCTCCTGCGAAAGAACCCACCCTTACACCCCGCCCTTCCGTTTTTCTCCCCTACCCACCCAACTCTGGCCAAGCCCCTAACTTCAGCAGAGTTGAGGGTTACCTTTGCCAAAAATTCCGGCCGCCCCTCTTCGGTGGGCAACTAAGTACCCGGCTGGGCTGCCAGCTGCAGTTAAGGATTGAGGGGAGAGCTATGGACCCGGGAACCTCTTCTACCAACATCCTTTCTCTTCTTAGTTTTGGTGGGCTGTGAAATGATACACCACTACACGGTTTTCTGCTTAATGGTCCCCTTTCGTGTCGTCCCATATGATTTTAGAGGTCAAAGGAACGAAAGGTTGGGTTGGCTGGAGTTCTTAATCTAAGAGTTCAGAGCAGGTTTAGTGCTTGGAGGTAAAAGAAAGCATAGCTTGGGAAAAGCAGGATGTATCGTCAAACTCCAGGAAAGTTTTTTTTTTTCAGTGATTAAAATTTTTAAAGCTTATATAATGATACAGAAAAGAAGAAAAAAATGCATATACTGGGTAATTATCTTCAAAATCAACAACCATTCACTAGGGGGAGAAAATGAACTGAAAGGAAACATTTTTAAAATGTTAACGCTGGTATGTTTTAGTTGGTGAGGCAATGAATGATATTTAGAAATTTAGAAATGAGTGAAATTGGGAAAAGACAATAGTCATCTAGACCAAAAGCTTCAGAAATCCATAGTTCTGGTTGTAATTTCTGAGAGATAAGAAACAGGCAGGCAGCTTAGTTACAAGGTGCATGTTTTTACATAAGTCATTTTCAAAGTTGGATTGTGGTTTCAGAAAGATGGTTGGGATTAGATCTGTTGCTCATTGAAATGTCCCTTTGGAAGTTTCAGAACTTTAGAACTAGGTTATAAAAACTTAAGAAATGATCCTCTAGCTCTCAGTTTGGAAACAGTACATATCCTGACATCAGTGGCAATTTTGTTGGAGAAACAACTTTTGCAGGGATATATATTTTTAATTACATGTATCCTGGGGAAGCAGCCAGGCTGTTTTGAAGGACAGGACTGGATCCCTTTACATGCTGGAAAATAGTTACTTGTAACCCTAGACTTCATAGACAACATCTGTAAGGAGCCAAGCAGACTGTTTATCAATGCTGAAGGAATTGAGAACAGCAACTGGACTCTCCCCTGCTGCTATTGCAGTTTCAGGGACTTAACATTTATAATTTCCTATTGTGCTTCATGATTATTCATTGAAAAAACCCAGCCAAACCCAACCCTGGTGACCAAAGACTTTGACCTGCATCCTAGCCCGGAGTCTAACTGTGTTTCAGTTAGGACATTTTCTATCTCAACATGGTAATGATGAAAAAAATAATAATTTCAAGAGATAAATTAAGAGGAATGTTAACAGGAGAAAATTGAGGAGAGGGAATAACAGGCAAATGACTGGATCTGCATTTTTTTTGCCATTTATTTTTATGGCAATAAAGCAAGGGGGTTAAATATATGTCACTCCATCACTGAAATGACTGAGTCATTTGATTAACTGTTCATTTCCTTCAAATAGTAGCTGAAAGGGGAAGGACAATGAAAGTTTTTTAAGGTTGATTTACTTAAATATTATTCCAAAGGGAGGTATATAATTTGAAGACTCTTTTTATTTATGTACTATGTTCGCCTGGAAAGGATAATTGGAATCAGAGAAGGAAAACGTGTAAGCGATAGATTATTAGGTGCCCTACTTCGAGGTCAGATGAAATGGTTAGAGTCCCTATAGGCTGAGGTAAAAGTAGACATGTTTGGTGCCTGGGAGCATTTAACCTAGCTTAATGTGTTTGGTCAAACTTCCAAGTCACTGTTTTCTTCATTTTTTTACTTTTACAGTTCTTCCTTTGTTCGGTGTACGTGCCAATGTGCACCGAGAAGATCAACATCCCCATCGGCCCCTGCGGTGGCATGTGTCTTTCAGTCAAGAGACGCTGTGAGCCTGTGCTCAAGGAATTTGGGTTTGTCTGGCCAGAGAGCCTAAACTGCAGCAAATTCCCACCACAGAATGACCACAATCACATGTGTATGGAAGGGCCAGGTGACGAGGAGGTGCCACTCCCGCACAAAACCCCCATCCAGCCTGGGGAAGAATGCCACTCTGTGGGGACCAATTCCGATCAGTACATCTGGGTCAAACGGAGCCTGAACTGTGTTCTCAAGTGCGGTTATGACGCTGGCCTTTACAGTCGCTCAGCCAAGGAGTTCACTGACATCTGGATGGCCGTGTGGGCCAGCCTCTGCTTCATCTCCACTGCCTTCACCGTGCTCACCTTCCTGATCGACTCTTCCAGGTTTTCCTACCCAGAGCGCCCCATCATTTTTCTCAGTATGTGCTATAATATTTATAGCATTGCTTATATTGTCAGGCTGACTGTAGGCCGGGAGAGGATATCCTGTGATTTTGAAGAGGCAGCAGAACCTGTTCTCATCCAAGAAGGACTTAAGAACACAGGATGTGCAATAATTTTCTTGCTGATGTACTTTTTTGGAATGGCTAGCTCCATCTGGTGGGTTATTCTGACACTCACTTGGCTTCTGGCAGCGGGACTCAAATGGGGTCATGAAGCCATTGAAATGCACAGCTCTTATTTCCACATTGCAGCCTGGGCCATCCCTGCAGTAAAGACCATTGTCATCCTGATTATGAGACTGGTTGATGCAGATGAACTGACAGGCTTGTGCTATGTGGGGAACCAAAACCTTGATGCCCTCACAGGCTTTGTGGTGGCTCCCCTCTTCACTTACTTGGTGATTGGAACTTTGTTCATCGCTGCAGGTTTGGTGGCCTTATTCAAAATTCGGTCCAATCTGCAGAAGGATGGGACAAAGACGGACAAGTTGGAGAGGCTGATGGTCAAAATCGGGGTCTTCTCAGTCCTATACACCGTTCCTGCAACCTGTGTGATTGCTTGTTATTTCTATGAAATCTCCAACTGGGCACTCTTCCGGTATTCCGCAGATGACTCCAATTTAGCAGTTGAGATGTTGAAAATTTTTATGTCTTTGCTGGTGGGCATCACATCAGGCATGTGGATTTGGTCTGCCAAAACTCTTCATACATGGCAGAAGTGTTCCAACAGATTGGTGAATTCTGGGAAGGTAAAGAGAGAAAAGAGAGGGAATGGTTGGGTGAAGCCTGGGAAAGGCAATGAAACTGTGGTATAAGGCCAGCCAGCCTCCTCATTTCCATGGGGGCAATGCCAGCATTTCAGTGCAAGTGCTACTAAAGTTTTATGCAGTGAATCTCAGTTTGAACAGACCAGCAACATTTAGGTGTCCCTTATAACCTACTGCCACTCACCCCTACTCCCTTTTCCAACCCAGCATCATAAAACTAATGATTTTACTGCAGACTTTGGAATGACCCAAAATGGAAAAGCCAGTTAGAGGCTTTCAAAGCTGTGAAAAATCAAAATGTTGATCACTTTAGCAGGTCGCAGCTTGGATGGTCAGGTCCTGCTTAGATTCCAGGAAGCTGGGACGACTCTGCTTTTCCCTGCTTGGTGGGTTTGGAGCTGTGAGCTGGCAGTTTGCAGGGAAACAGATTAACTTTTTTAACCCTTTAAACATTTTAAATACTAACTGGGTCTTTCAGATAGCAAAGTGATCTATAAACACTGGAAATGCACTGGGTTCAGAGAAGTGTTACAAGACTTTTATAGTTTGGCCGAGCTAACATAAACATTTTCTGGGGTGCACTGTCTGCTGTTTAGAACTTGTGGATTGCTTTCCCAAGACATGGTGTCAGATCTTTCAGTGCCTTTGTCATAAAACAGAATTGTTTGAACAAACAAAAGAACTGTGCAGACACACATAAGGTGTCCAATGGATTTTCTTCTCTCTCTTAAATTTCAACGTCTCTGTTCTAGGTGGCTGCTGTTTTTTCATTTTACGTTCATGTCTCAAAATAAGTATTTTTATAGAGATCTTTGCACTGCCGCATGTCTGATGAGGGGAAAGGAAAGGTGATTTCATTTTCTGACAATCACTTAATTCAGAGGAAAAAGAGATTTACCAAGTAGACTTACCTTCCTGACCCCAGAGACCTATTGCATTGAGCAGTGGGGACTTAATATATTTTACTTTGTGTGATTGCATCTATGCAGACGCCAGTCTGGAAGACTAAAATGTTAAATTTGTTGGCAACTTTGCATTCACACAGATTAGCTGTGTAATTTGTGTGTGTCAATTACAATTAAAAGCACATTCTTGGACCATGACATAGTGTACTCAACTGACTTTAAAACTATGGTCAACTTGCATTCTTGGAATGATAGTGCCTTTTTACTTTAGCATAAGAATGTTATCAAGAGTCTGGTTTACTTACCACAATGGAGGCTTTTTCAGTTTTGTGGAGGGAACTAAGGACAGCTAATCCAGCTACTTGGTGCATAATTGTTTCCTAGTAATTGGCAAAGCCTCCTTATATAAGATTTCACTGGAGGCAGTGTGGCCTGGTGTATTTATATGGTGCTTAATGAATCGCCAGAATGCCAGCCAGGAGCATGACTGGGTAGGAGGGAATAAAGTGTAGACCGTATGAAATGAACTGCAAATTCTAATAGCACAGGTCTTAATTGCCTTTCGCAGAGGTATCCAAAGCTTTAAAAATTTATATTCTACGTTCCTCACAAGGGGGTACCCCCTTAGCATTCTCTCAAAAGTTGCAGGTCCTTGAAAAATCACAACCAGCCTTTCTCTTAACCTGTTTTAGGCCTTCTAGTCACCAATCTCTAGGACAGATTGGTGGCGATGTCACAGGTTATTCCGCCTTGTAACTCATACCTGTTTTTGCTTCAGCAACTACTTTGGAATGACTCATTTATTTATTTATTCATGTCACCCCCTCCCCCCCCTTTAAAAACACACAGAGAAGCCCTTTTATCACACCTCTTCATGGAAAAACACTTCGAGGGGCTAAAATTCCAAATAGGTGGTCAAGTTTTAGAAATAAGTGTCTCTCTCTTTGGTTTGAGTTTTACAATAATGGTTTGACATTTTCCCTTTTTTCTCTGTCATTGCATGGTTCTGAGATGAAGATGCACGAGATTTGTTGCATGTTTTGGAAGGGAAAGTCTTGGGCTTTTGAGACAGATGCTGAATGGGTTGGGTGACTCCTGCTCTGTGTACTGAGCCTCAGGACCTTGGCCAGACTCTCTCAGGCTCCAGGAGCATGAGAAATGAGCCCCAGAAAGACCAGTGGAACTCCACCTGACTCTACCTTACCTATGACAGGTAAAATGTGAAGTCGTGCTGTCGCAGACAGTTGCCAGAGCTGACAGTGGCAGGGCCTCCCCTTACGCATGCGCATGTGCATGCGCCACCCTATTGTCTTAGGACTTACACAGAAATGATGGCTTCAGAAAGGGAAGGACTGAGCAGGGGTACTGGCCTTCCTATTGGAGTGTAGGGGGTTTTGACGCCATTTTCTTTGGCATGTTTTAGCCATCATATGGCCAAAGCAGCACCTAGCGCAGGGCCAGGCCCAGCATAAGTTCTTTGTATTTGTGAATGAAGAAATAATAATAATAGCACTGAGAATACTTGTGTGAACCTGGATGCCTAAGTTTTAGAGTCTGTGCCCTGACAACTTCCTCGGTTTTGACCTATCTCTTCACAAATTTCTTGCCTTCTCAGGGAACAGTGTATCTGAACAGAATTGGCTCGTGGGGCAGACTGGATTGGTAGCTTTAGCAATGTCACCAGCTTCTAGGCCTTTCCTTTCATACTATAGACAATGGAGATAGTTGACAATTTCAGGAAGGAGCTTTGTGTCTCACAGTTACCAGTGACCTTGAAGCATCACCTCTTAAGGTGACATTTGTTTTTTAAAAAAGTCAAAATTATCAGTTATCACTTGTTGAGTGCCAGCTATGTGAAAAGTTCTGTGTGAGGTGCTTTCAGTTCTTCTAACTGACCCAGACTGGGGGCTGTTGGACATGTCGACTTTGCTTTTGGCTTTGGGAAGGTGCAGGGAGCTCTGAATTCCCATCTTTTCACTGTGTTCATCCCATACACCTCTTCTGGGTCTTTCTATATCTTCACTGCTTCTCTCATCCCCTCCCAGGGTTCTCTCCAAGTCAATGATAAGGGTTTTGACAGAAAAGTACCAACTCTCCTTCAGGAGCATTTCTGTGGAAAATCCCTTGGAAGACAATGAAAAATGTCTCTAAGGATGTGAGCTTCCACATTAAAATGTCTTGGTACAGTTCAGGGCTTGGGTGTTTGCTGTGACGTGGCAAGTAAATTTAAAGACATCATCTTCCTCAAGGAAGTTAGGGGTTTCTTTCTTAGAAATCTTGAAGAACTATGATCTTACCTTCATTAAAAAAAAAAAAAATCCCTTGGCTTCCAGAGATTTTATTCAACAAGGCCTAATGGCATATCTTGTCCAGCCTCCTCTCTGGCAAGCTCCCTCCTCCTTCACAAAGACCAGGCCTTGGCAGGAACACGGGCTACAGTGGAACCGGCCAGAATCATCTGGTTGGGCTACTTGGTTGATTCCTATCTATTTTCCTCTATGTAGACAGTTTCCTGGTCTCTGAGACTGCTTTTGAATTGGCAGCTTACTCGGGGTCCTGAAACCAGAGAAGGATGACACCTTTTATTTCCCCTAGAATCTCTCTGACCATCTCTTTTCTGGGTGCCCCTTCACCAGCAGGCCTCAATCCAAAGGCCAGGATATTTCTGTATCTGGGTTCTGAGCTGTGACTTACCAGCACCTGTGGCTCTGTCCCACTGGTTTCCCTTAGCCTGTTGGTCACTGAATCCAATGCTGATTGTTTTGGGAACCAGGCTGGGACCTGAGGACACAAAGGAACTGAGCCCCCAGGAGGCAGACTGAATTGAAAGGGAGCTCACTAGGGAGGTGCAGTCTCTGGCTTCTGGTAAGCGGGCCATAGCTATAGTTAGGAAGGAGCTCCTCAGAACACAGACTTTGGAAGCAACCTTCAGGATCCATTTGCATTTGATTTACTTACATTATAAAGCAGATTGGAGAGTTCTTTCCCAGCCAATTATGTCACAGCACTGGACTGGCAGTTCTTCTGGTTCCTTTTATTGTGTTGAGTTCAGTGTCCCTGTCTGCATTGTGCATGCTGTCTGGCAAGCGACCCTTGTTATCATTTTCCCTCTGGTCTTAGCGAGCAGATATTGGAAAACGAGGAGGGTGTTTTATTCCTACCAGGGATCAGATCCCAGAGCCTTGAATAATGAATTTTCCTTCATGCTAACCTGATCTATGCCCTCTGTTACTCCTTAAGAAGTGTGCCATGCACATTTGCCCTCACTGCACATCAGAGTACCAGGAGGGATGCGAACCTGGAACCCACAAGAGGCCTCTTCCCCTTGGCATATCAGGTGGCTGTAGTTGCCTGTTTCTGGTTCTAACTTACCCCACTTCCATTCTTCTTCTCAGCACCAGCAAATTCTCACTGTTTACCAAGGCATTTTGGGTCCTATTGAGACATGTCCACCAAGCTCTGTATCTCCCTGACTCCCATGACATTCAGTACCTGACGGCTGGCATCGGGAGGCTTCTGGATGGGCCAGAGCAGCTCCGCCCCGAAGGCTGAGTCCAGCCTCTCTCCTCGCTTGGACCCTTTCCACATCCTGCTTGTGGCCCTGGTCCCACTTGCTTGTGGATTTTGGAAGTGGAGGCTGCTCTCTAGCTGTCTGCCAGTCTACCTGTAGGTGGCTCTGAAATTTTTCCTACCTCCCAGGGATGCCGTGAGACTTTAGAGGGTCTGAGGCTGAAGGCCCCTTGAGTTCTTTGAGAGAAATGTGGACTACATAGCAATGGTGTTACAGGACAAGGTAAACCTGCTGGTGCAGTTGCCTGGCTGGTATTCGGTGGCTCTTTCTTGGATCCTTGAGCTGCTCCACAGCTCCAGCCACCTTGAGGCTAACATGGGGGAACTTTCAGATGTTCCACGTAGAGGTACCAGGCAAACTTCTGCAACACATGCCCTGAGTAAATTGCTGAATTTCAAAGGAAATGGACCTTGCTTTTAAAGATGTACAAAAGTATGTCTACATTGATGTCTGTACTGTAAATTTCTAATTTATCACTGTATAAAAACATAAACTTTGCTATTTAATTTTTGTATCAAAGGAAAATAAAGTTTTGTTTATTAACTGCTGTGTGATTTGACATTTTGCTGCAGGTATAAGAAAGTAGAGAGAGGCAGCAGTGAAAAATTGAGAATTTGGTTTGCAGAGTAGATTGGGAACGGCTTTCTGAGATCCTCTTTGTTTTTGCTGGTGCTATTTTTCCCTTCTGGGATTTCTCCTGGGTCAGCGAGCTACTGAGGTCCAGGGTCAACAAGATTTATCACTGGTCATCAGTAACACTTAAGTGGATGTGTAACTACAGTTCCCAAGTTGTTACCCCATGAAACCTCTTTTTGGCATTTCCAATAGTATGACCATTTTATAGATCTTCAAAGTCCTAGTGGTGGCCTGAGAAGCTTACTTATCACCACTGGAGCTTCAGGCCTCCTAAAAAGAGCAAAGGAGGCTTGGCATTTTTTTCTTTTTAAATTTAGATTTTCATTTTTTCCCCCTGTCTGCATAATGATTCTGTTTTGTGTGTGATAAACACTTTAGCTAATTTTATAGTGTGATAGACACCAGGATATGGCACAACAGTCAGCCAGGAAAATGACTTCTTCAGCTAATTTTGTAGTTGGCTATGTCTCTAATCCAGAAAAGTCATCAAAGAAAATGCAAATACATTATTAGGACATTGTCATGGAAGCAAGTAATGTTATGGGCCACAGACAGAGAGAAGAGAACCCCTGCCACTAGACACTTGTACTGAAGTCCTTGCAGAAAACATTAGCCTGCTCATTTGTCTTTTAATTGCTTTCCACCCGCTGTTTTCACCTACAGACTGCTATGTGTTTTGGTGTGAGTAAAAGGCCTGCAGAATAAGGATCTGCCATACTGCTCTCCATTGCTGCAGATTGCTATTGTACTTTTATCTCAAACCATAAGTGAAGGAAGGTGTGTAATTAAACTCTTACTCATTAAGTGGTTGGAGAGTTAAGGAAAAGGCAATGCAATCTGCAATGAATTCATAATAATCCTTTACATTTGCAGATGTGTCTTCTGTAGAGAAAACACCTTATTTACATGAATTCATTGTATTCCCAAGACATCTCTGAAGTTAGCAAGGCAGGATTGATTTAGAGAGCAGAACTGAGAAATCTAAAGAGGTCAAGGAACTTGCCCGGGAAACTGGATGAGGTGGTACAGTTTAAACAGCCAGGTTTTCTCATGCCTACTCCAGAGGTTTGATTTTGTTTTACACTTAGTTGTGGGTTGAATCTTGTCCACCAGACATGTTGAAGTCCTCACTCTCTAAAACCATGGATATGAACTGATTTGGAAATAGGATCAAGTTAAGATGAGCTAATGCTAGAGTGGGCTTTAATACAATGACTAATATTTTTGTAACAGAAAGGGTATTTCAGGGCCTCTCTGTTGGTATAAGGAGGTTAAGTCTGAGCACTCTCAAGCTGTCTGCAGCCACTGCGGCACAAGTTCCATCCCCGGCCAGGGAGGTGACATGTGTCACAGCAGATGTCTCCTGTCTTGCACACTGCTCCCTTCAGCATATTTCAGTCAGTCTGCCTATTCTGTTCCCCACTCTGTGGTGAAAGCTCTCACCCACTCTGGCTCTGGCCTGTACCCCAGCTCATGTATGCATACATTTTTTAAAAAATCTTTAAAAAATTAAAGAAGGTATTTGGACATATGAAGAATACCTTGTGAAGACAGACACAGAGGTTATAGTTGTATTTGTAGGCCAACAAATTACCACCAAAGATTATTAGCAACTACCTAATGTTTTGAGTGGCACAGAAAAGCCTCCCTTAGAGTTTCCTATAGGAACCAATCTGCTGACACCTTGATTTCAAACGTCTAGCCTCCAGAACTGTATGAGAATAAATTGTTGTTGAAAGATACCTCCTGTTTAGTGATTTATTAGATAACCACCCACGATCTATTAGGTAAGCACTCCAGTGATAATTTGTCATACAGCCCTAGGAAATGAGTATTTGCTTGGTTCCTCTGGTTTAACTACAGCAAGTAGTTCATTGGAAATGGGCGAATGTCTTGGTGGGTATCTCAATAATGAGAATTGGCTATGAGCTTCTGTTGTCTAAGGATTATAAAGCATCATCACTCGGATAAATTTCTTGATCTGTAAGTTGGACCCCTCTGAAGTCTACCCCACATCCCTGATACTCAGCTGACTTGAACTGGTCCTGGTCCTGGCTCTACCCATCCACCCACCCCCCAATGGGAACTTTGTGTGCAGGGCCAGGACCTTGAGTGGAATGTGGCCCAAGGGTTTTTAGCATTTCTGTCCTGAGAACTGATTTTTTCTCTTTCCCATTTTAGCTTTCACATGCAATCGTAATTTTAAAGTTGAGCTGACTCTTGACTAAAGAGGTCAACCTTGGCCCCCTGTCTTCAGAGGTTCTGTGTACAGAAATAAACCACAGTCAGAGAGGGCATTTACCCCTCCCCCTTACTTTCCTTCCCCATGCAGCTGGGCTGGAGGACTGGGAGTATTTCCCTAAAGGTTTTCATAATATTGGGCCCACAATGGTTTAGTCCAAAGAGCTTTTTAAGTGATTCTTGACTCCATGTGAAAATTCTTAGATTCACCCTGTCCTTCCATTAGTCTAATCCTCAGGCTAAGAGAATGCATGGTCTCATCTTCCCAGATGGCAAAGAATTCCAACTACAAACTCCCAAGGACAAAATTAAAGAGGAAAATTACATTACATAACAATTGCTTGATTTTGATTGTTCTTCTATGTGGTTTCCTATAAGCACCCCATTCGGTGCACACTCGTGAGTGTGCTTAATCTCCTGAATAGCTTGCATTATCAATACCTTGCTCTTTGAGAGATGAAATGATTGACTGTCTGAATTTTCCAGAATGCCTGAGGGTTGTGTCATTTCTCTTGATATGAAGTAATAGAGTTTAAAGCAGTAAGATGAAATTGATAAGTGACATAGAAAAATTGATCCTAGTTCCTTCCATGTTTTCCTCTTGCTCCCCAACCCTTCATCTGAATTTTCCTTTCCCCGAAATGCTCCTTCCCTCTTCCTTCAACTAGGTGATGTCTGTTTTCCCTTCAAGACTTACGTTTTATGTCAGCTCTCCTGGGGAAATTTCCCTTACCTTCCTACAGGGCATGACCTGCCTTCCTTTTCTTCTTATCTGGCATAAGCTTATGTTTCTGTATTTCCAGCCTGGGGGCATTCATGCTGCTGATGGTAAAACACACCCCATGGATCAGCTCTCTGATGAAGATTGTGAGCTCCCGTGATGCTTACTTGTGTGCCCTTACCTCGGGCCTGACACAGAGTACAAATTTCAGGAATAGCTCTTGAAGGAAGGGAGGGAAGATAAGAGGGAGACAGATTTTATCTTGTTAGGTGGGGAATCTGAGGGAATTTGGTGACAAATGTGGCCATGATAAGGAAAGAAATCAAAAGGAGACAAGACCCCACAGAGAGGGATTTCTGGAACGATGCTTGGACAATAGCTCCAGAGAGAATTCTCTAGCCTCAAAGATACGTTTGAAAACAATCACCTCCCCACTGTATTGCTTATCTTTAAATTGTCTCTACTCCACTCTTCTTCCTCCTCAACAAATATTTGCTGAAGTCTTCTGTCTGCAGACTACTGGAGTGGGCTGGAGAAGGGGAAGAGGGAGTGACTGATTGTAAATCTCCATGAAAGACAAAGTCTAACTGAGAGTCCAAAAGTGCAGATGACAAAATGGAGAAAGAATTCGGCTGTTATTACCAAGCTTAAAACTCTAAACCTGGTAAAACAAATACGCTGCTGCTTGGTAAATATTTGTTGAATAGCTGAACAAGGGTCTATCATGAGCCAGCCACTGTCCCTAGAGAGGCCTGTCAGGGACAGCAAAATAAATAAGACACGACCTTTCTCTCTAGAAGTTTATGGCAGTAGACCAATGCTCCCTCTATCCTGCTTGCAAAGAATCAGTGCTTCCAATCTTATCATTTTGGTCTATGTAATGTCTTCCCAAAATTCCCAAGGTCTCCGTTTAGCGTGGCCGGTATAGCACCTGAGAGCTAAGCGCACTGGGAAAACATTTCCTGAACTGTGGGCCTCAACAGGTAAGTGTGTCAGAAAGGGAGGGGGAAGGGGACAAACAAGGAGGGGAGAAGCCTAGAAACCATGTGTGCTTCTCAAACCACCCTCTGAGTTCAACATGTCAAATTAAAGATCAAAATGTATGCATGCATTGTCATTGGAAGCACTGCATCATCAAATCAGTTAATGGCTTCATCTGAAACCTCCCGAGCCTACGTGCTTGGGATATTTGTACCTAAACAAGTGGCTGTGTGTATGTGTGCCTAAGTCCTCTGAGTGCGATCTTCTTGCTACTCTCATATCATAATCTATAAAACAAAGCAACTGCTTATAGTGTTAAAAGGGGCTTGTGGTCAACCCTCATTTCCTTTTACCCAGGGTGAAAGGGATAATGTGTGAATAAATTTGTCTTAGTTGTCTGTGGGAGGTGTGGGATGGCAAGTGGGTTCAATGTAACTGGAACCCGAGACTCTTGGGATAGGAGGGACAGCGTGCTATGGCCAAGTCATGAAGGCTATGACTTGGGGGTTAGACATTGTCCCACGCTCAGTGCTGGGCAACAAACAAAATTTGAGAGCTAGGAAGGCTCATGCACATCCACACTGGTGTTTTCCACAGCTTGCCCTGCCTGTGTGGATAGGGGTCCAGAGAAAAGGAAAGCTGGGAGCAGGCTGACCAGTTTGGATGAGAAACCACACAGGCCTAAATGAAGGTGTGTGGGAGAGAGCTACCAAGAAGGATGCAGTTTTCATAGAAACCACAGCTCTGTGTCTTCCGTGGCACTGTTCAATGAGCCGAATCTTTGCTTTCTAAACTTTCTGAGGCAAGGAACTTTCTGTTTGTTTGTACACCTGATACAGCACTCTACATTGTGAGCTACAGATAAATAACTACCTTGCACTGAAAGGCCAGAGCAGATTGCAACATTGACCAGGGACCCCTAGAGAGCTTGGGTT